TAAAAAAAAAAAAGGACACTAAGCTCTGAAAGATGGATTTCCACTGCATCTCATTTTTAATGTAAAGTCTTGGTTTGTTTTTTAGTCAACTCTGACTCATGAATTCCTTCAGAACAGATTTCCATTTCCCAAGACCCTCCAGCAGAAACAAAAATGTTCTTCCTCATTCAGGGCAACCGCAAGAACATTTGGAAGGACCAATGTGTACCTCCAGGCAGTATGCTTGATCACACTGTGATTTCTGGGACTGTTTCACCCAACAAGAAGGGACGTTTCAGGAGATTCCGCTGAAAACTCATGCACTCTTCCACTCAAGGTTTTTAATTTTGCAGCTGTAGGGTTTGAGGTTCTGATCAACATGCAGAGCTGGCTGAGAGCTTGGATTACAAATGGGCAGAGAAGGTGAGCTGTGTCCTGGTGGCCTTCAAGGCTAAATTAAAACCGGGCGAAAACACTTTTCTTGGCATTAAAAGGTATTTAGTGATTAATAAAAAGTCGGATGCCTGTAACCACTGCAGAATCCTAAACAAGTTTATCGCCACAGCTGCTGAACTGCAAGCTACCCCCAAAACACGCCATCCTCCCTTCCTTTCTGGTCAGAGATCCCCAGCTGTCACCAGACATACGTCTGTTTGTAATAGCCCCCTTTTCCAAACTTCCATTGCAGCTAGGGGTGGCCAGGGGATGAAATTGAAGGTGGAAATTCTCCTGAAAGAGGGAAGATGTGTCTTCATTCCTGCCTTCCACCTTCCTGTAGGCTGGAATTCAGACATGATGGAGGGCCACGGGCAGTAGCCACCTTACACCATGAGGCAGAGACAGCCACAAGCTGAGGACAGGAGTTTGGAGTCTGGATCCCTGACCCCATGGAACACCATACCTGCTCGGTGGATTTCTCTAGTTGAGAGGAAAAAAATGCATTTCTCAGTTTTAAGCCACTGTTTGTTTTATCTTATTTATTTATTTGATTGAAGTCTTTCTCTTCTGCCCAGACTGGAGTGCGGTGGCACAATCATGGCTACTGCAGCCTTGACCTGCTGGGCTTAGGCAATCCTTCTGCTTCAGCCTCCCAAGTAGTTGGCAGTACAGGCACACACCACCATGCCTGACTAATTTTCTGATTTATTGTAGAGACGAGGTCTCACCAAGTTGTCCAGGCTGATCTCAAACCCCTGGGCTCGGGCTATTCTCTTGCCTCTGCCTCCCAAAGTGCTGGGATTATAGGCATGAGCCACTGTGCTCAATACTGTTTATTTTAATTTAAACCTGTTTGTCATAACCAAATGTCATCCTAACCGGTATCTTCCCACTCTGTACCAGCATCAAGTCAGCCCCTCTTATGGACTGCTAGGTGGTTAGGATGCTTCAAATGCTAACACAATGTAGATTCATTAAAAAGTCAAATTGCCAGTCTTGCAAAAGACGGAGGATTTGCTGAAATTGATGAACTGGATGTCAGGCACGTGAGGCTCTGACTAATAAGTGAAGAAACCCAGCGAGAGGGTCGAGGGGTGATGCTTTGATATCAAAGGAAGAGAAGACACCGTGGGGAATGCCCAACAGGGTCCTGGGATATTGTTTACGTGTGATATTTCCTGGCCCTACATGCGTAATTTCTTTTTTTTTTTTTGAGTTGGAGTCTCACTCTGTCACCCAGACTGGAGTGCAGTGGCTGCTTCCGGCCACCGCAGCCTTGACCTGCTGGGCTCTGGCGATCCTTCCGCCTCAGCCTTCCAAGTAGCCGGAATTACAGGCATGTGCTACCGGCCCGGCTGATTTTTTTTTTTTTTTTTGAGTTGGAATCTCACTCTGTCACCAAGACTGGAGTGTAGTGGCTGCTCCCGGCCACCGCAGCCTCCACCTGCTGGGCTCCGGCAATCCTTCCGCCTCAGCCTTCCGAGTAGCCGGAATTACAGGCATGTGCTACCAGGCCCGGCTGATTTTTTGATTTATTGTAGAGATGAGGTCTCGCTGCCCAGGCGGGTTTCGAACCCACGGGCTCATGCAATCCACTCACTCA